TGTCCCCCTACCCGGGCTCGCTTTCCCCCACAGACAGCCCAGCCGCGACGCCAGGATGCTCTCCGGCGCTGTCTCACTGCTGCTGCTTGTGGCTGGCATCCGCTCGGTGTCGGGAGGAGGTGCTGGCGGTGGAGGATACGGGCAAGTGAAATACATGCAGCCCATGGTGAAAGGGCCCCTGGGGCCCCCATTCCGGGAAGGCAAAGGGCAGTATCTGGGGAAGGGGGCATTTTTACGCAAAGGGAGCCAGGGGCGGAGGGCTTGATTTGGGGATGTGGCCAATGGCAGAAATGGGGGCACCACTCTGGCGGCCTGATGTGTCTGGAGACCTGCAGCTGCTCCAAGGCAGGGAAAATTCACTCCTCGTTATCGGGCGCAGCCCAAGTCCAAAGGGTGCGGTTGGTCCCTAAGACCTGCAGATGGAAACACAGCGTGTTGACCATAGCAGGGCATTTTATAGCCTCTGCTACACCCATGGATGTGCCAGTGAGTTCCATACCAGGCCCCTCTCGGCATAAACACAGGTGGGCCCAATTCAGCCAAGACCTTATGCCTGCACAGAAGCCCCAACGGAAGTCAATGAGCCTTAAGCATGTGCTTAGAGGCTTTGCTGACTTGAGGCCCTCAGTGGTCCTGACACCTGGACCAAGGCAGGCGCCGTCCTACTCGGAGCCATGAGAGAGTGTGTCAAGTGATTCACATCGACCAGGTGCTGACAGAACATCCCCGGAAACGGGTCTGTCAGGCTGGTTGTCTCCCAACAAAGACGCAGTTTGGTTGGCAGGCTTGCAGCTTGTTTGAGCCCCCCAGCTGCTGCCTTCTGACCCACGTGGCCACCACCCTACCACCTGGACGTGCTGCCCAGGAGTGCAGCCAGGAGGGGACGTGACAGCATCAGCCAGTGCCGATGATGTCGCTGCTGCTGTGATATCACTCCTAGGAGGGACAGCCTTATAGGAAGTGCCACCAGACCAGGGCCTGGCAATGGGGGCCAGGGAGGACTCAAATGCACAAAGCTTGTGAGTCCAGTCCATCTTGGGAGCCGGGCTGAAGCCAGACAGGAGCAGAAGCCAGACAAGGCTCCTCTGGAGCTGTGGTTTGTTCCTTTGTCATGTTGCTGAAATCCGGCAGCTTCCATCACAAATGCCCCCTTTGGATCATCCGCCTTATCCCCTCTCAAATGTCATTTGTCCGTGGGCTCAGGAGCCTTGCTCCCTGCTAACCTCTGGCCTGGCCTCGAAATCTAACCGGACCACTGTACTGTCAGGCTGAGTCTACACTGGGAAATTACTTTGAAATAATAACGCCCCAAATAACTATTTCAAAATAGTAATAGAGATGCAGCCGTGTTAGTCTGGTCTAGCTGAAACAAAAGACAGGACTATGCAGCACTTTAAGGACTAACAAGATGATTTGTTAGGTGATGAGCTTTTGTGGGCCAGACCCACTTCCTCAGACCAAATCAAAGTGCTGCATAGTCCTGTCTTTTAGTCGAGGGAGTGTGTCCACATGAAGGGAGCCTGCCTCTGACTAATGTCGAGGCTTCCCTGCAGTGTGGTCACGCTATTTCGAAATAAAAGACAGGACTATGCAGCACTTTAAAGACTAAGAGTCCCAGGGAGCATTGGGCTGTGTCTACACTGGCATGAATTTCCGGAACTGCTTAAAACGGAATACTATTCCGTTTTCAGTTTTTCCGGAAAAGGAGCGTCTACATTGGCAGGCTGCTTTTCCGGAAATTCCCTTTTTCCAGAAAAGCGTCTGTGGCCAATGTAGATGCGCTTTTCCGGAAAAGAGCCCCGATCGCCATTTTCGCGATCAGCACTTTTTTCCGGAAAAGACTACTGGGCTGTCTACACTGGCCCTTTTCCGGAACAGTGTTCCGGAATAAGGTCTTATGCCCGAGCGGGAGCAGAATAGTTTTTCCGGAATAGCGGCTGATTTTGTACAGTAGAGCATCGTTGCTTTTCCAGAAATTCAAGGGCCAGAGCGTCGTTCCTCCTCACAAGCAGGAGTTATCCTTTCGAACTAACAAGCCCCTTAATTCGAAATGATTTTGAAATACCAGACTTGCTGTGCCTTGTTATTTTGAAATAACTCCCTCGGGTAGACGTGCCCTCTGAGCGGTTGCAAGTGGCGCTCGCCGCTTCTGCAGGCTGCTGAATTGTACTGACATGGTAGAATGCAGCACGGGGGGAGTGGTGGCAAGAACAGGCTTAGCGGCCTTTGGGCACGGAAGGGGCATACAACAACTGGGGAGACTCCGTCTGGCAAGGGGGGGTGGTGTGGGCAGACTCACCAGCTTGAGGAGAACAAGGTGCCTGGCAAATCACATGGACCGTGTCTACCTGCAGGTCACAGGGGGTGCAGACCAGAACCGTTGATGGAGTCTCCATCAACATGGAGAACCCATGCCTAAGTGTCGGTCTCCTCGCTCAGTAGAAACCAGGCCCCTGCCCAGACCTACCAGTCCAGTCCACCCTGGACAAACTAGTTCTTGTGATACAATCGGACTCCCCCACCCCCCCACCGATCCACAGTGCTAGGATCCTCTGTTAATCGTCTCCTGAATCGATGTGCTCTGCTCCCTGAGTTTGTACAGACCACGCCCATCGTTCCCCCTTAATAGAATTATGTATGTGGATGACCGGAGTGCTTGGGGCGGGGCCCCACCGTGCAAGGTGCTGCACAAGCACACTGCTAACTGCACCCCCCCGTGTGGGGCAGGCCCCCCAGACTGTCACCTCTCCGCTCCATGTCCTACTCCATTTTTCCATCCTCCCCCTCTTCTCCACATAAACCAGATGTGAAATGTTCCTGTTCTCTGAGCCTCTCGACCACTGCCCCTAAAGCAAGCCCAACTCTCTTCACGGGTTGCCAAACTGGGGGACCCCCCTCTCTTCCCCCATCAAGTTTTGCTGCCCCAGTCTAGGGGTTTTTTTTTGGTTTTTTTGGCTCAACAAGTTTTGCTGCTATTTTGGGGCGGGCGGAGGGTTTCTCAAAAATCAAAAAGGGGGCGTGAGGCCGAAAAGTTTGGGAACCACTGCTGCAGCTGGCTCCCTGGAGAGGGCTATGTGATGACAGAGACCGTCTTCAAACCAGCTCACCCCTGCTTTTCTCACCTGCTCGGCCTACGGGCTGGGCACCTGCGGCTGAGGCTGGGGAGGGTGCAGATAGCTGAAGTGGGGAAGGTTTCTCCATGGAGGGAAATGACCCCCTCCCACCTTTACCCGAGTCTTCCTGAATTCCCTCTCCTGGGTGCCTGTGTCTGCCTGCAGCCCCTCTCCCATGTGCGCGGGCTCTGCCCAGTGTGGTTTTCGAGAGGTAGGAGCCAGGAGACATGCCAGGATGAACACAGATGCACAGATGACCTTTGGTGGGGCAGGGGCAGCTGGTCTCCCAGCATGGGTTATGCAGTGCCACAGCCCAGTGCATTAACCCCCTCCTGCCCATATTCCTGGAGGAGTCGCGTCACATACGTGGAGGCTAGTAACAGGGCCGGATTAAGGGGAGGGGCTAGCCGAGCAGCTGCCCAGGGCGCCAACCTATGGGGGCCGCCTGATTGAAGTGGTAAGGGGTGCCGCTCGCCCGGGGGCATGGCCACGGCACCCCTTACCATGTCAATTAGGCACCGCACGCCTGCTGCCCAGGGCGCAAGTATGGCTCGGTCCAGCACTGCTAGTAAATACATTTACTGGCTGGGGGCAAGTCACAGCTGCCTTGTCAGCAGCCAGGGCTGCTGAAATTGTGGGAATGTCCTTGAGAAAACTGCAGTGGATAGACTGGGACTCAAGAGACCTGCATTCACATCCCAGCTCTGCTACTGTCCTGCTGTGTAACCTTGGGCATGTTACTTTACCGCTGTTTCCTCCTCTCGGGTGTAGTCAGGCTGTAATCTCTTCAGGGCAGGGGTTCTCTCCTTCTGAGTGTATGTCCAGCATCTAGCCCAGCAGGGCCTTGGTCTCAAGGGAGGCTTCCAACTGGCATCAATGGGATACAAAAAATATTCATAGGCACTTGTTGCTTTACCACGCCCACTGGAGGGCCCCATCAAGCCGATTGCCTGTCACTAGGGTTGCTTAAAGGAACTTGTGTTTTAAACACCTGGAGTGTCATGTGACCACATCTCTGCTCTCTATTGGCCTGTCCGTGTTCATTAGGACAAAAATGTGACCCTCCCTAGCACGTGCCAGTTTGTATTTTTACTAGCGTCCTTAAAGGAGGATCGACTCACCGGATGGAGCGTGACAGTTCCCAGTGGCTGGTCTTCTCCTTTGGATCCCTTCCTACCCTGCACTCTTCAGCAGCTTTGGAGATTGACCCGCGGTGTGTGTGTGTCAAATTCAGTGTGGCCGTGAGGCAGCCCAGCCACACCCTGGCCAGCCTCTGATCTCGGGAGCAGGTTTAGAGCCAGAGTAACCCTGAGACCATCTGGATTTACACCAGAGAAACTGCGATCAGAATCAAACCAGGGGCTGTCTCCCTGCCGGCACCACCCCGTGGCCCTTTGCTCCTTGGCCCTCCTGGCTGGGCAGCAAGGAAGAATCAGAGCAGGTAGGGGAGCACAGGGAAGGAATGAGTCTTCACTGGTCACTGTGCCATGCCCAGTGACTGGAATTATGGGAATGTTCTTGAGAAAACTGCTTGTGGCGGTAGGAAAGAGGAGGGAACCATGCTGCAGCATCTGAGTGGCAGGGCGCGCCAATGGATAAGACTGGGACTCAAGAGACCTGAGTGCAAATCCCAACTCTGCTACTGCCCTGCTGTGTGGGCTTGGGCATGTTACTTTGCCTCTCCTTCCCCCAGTGGATGCATGGAGCAGACACCGGGACTAAGAAGGGGCCATTTATACACAGTCATTTCTCTAACAAGATCTGGATTTGGAGCTGCTACTCTTTGTGGCAAGGGGTTGGGTTTATCACGACAGTTGCCTTGAGCTGAGGTAGGAATGACTTCACTAGATACTCCTCCTCCCCCGAGCAGTGCACACACACACACACACACACTCGCTCTCTCTCGCTCTCTGGGAGACTGGCTCTGTTCTCGTTTGCAGCCGTATAAATCTGGAGCGATGTCAATGAAGTGCCTCCAGACTGACCCCCGCCGTGACCCTGGGAGAGACATCCTGACCCAGGCGCTGTAAATTACCATGCGCTTGGGAAACGGCGGCGCGCCGCAGGCTTTGGCAAGGGAGGAATGCTGGACCCCGCAGACGCGG